TATCTCTGTAACGTATCTCTGTAACGTATCTCTGTAACGTATCTCTGTAACGTATCTCTGTAACATATCTCTGTAACATATCTCTGTAACGTATCTCTGTAACGTATCTCTGTAACGTATCTCTGTAACTTATCTCTGTAACGTATCTCTGTACCGTATCCCAGTCAAGTATCCCAGTAACGCCTCACGTATCTCAGGTACATGAACGTGTCGGACGTGACGTGTCTCATCGACAACCTCAAGCCCGCCACCATGTACGAGTTCACCGTCAAGGCCGTCAGGGTAACTACCATTACCACCTTCATTACCTACCATTCCCTCATCCAGCATTTTGTATTTTTTTCTTTTTCTTTAAATTTTCGTAGGGTTTTGGAGAGGTTGTATTGTATCATGTATTTTGTATTATATCATATTTATCATTATATTATATTATATACATTATATATATACATTATATGGTATTATATCATATATTTTGTATATCATGTATTTTGTGTGCTCCTCTGTGAATAAATAATAAATAAATAATAAAGAATACCACTCTCCAGGTACCAACATGTCAATTATTTATAGTCTGACCCAAGGGGCTCTTAGGCAACCCCTTAAAAGGACCTCGCCCTCCCCCCGCCACAGGGCTAAATCTGTCTCTTATACACATCTAGATGTGTATAAGAGACAGGTATCCAGCAGNACAGGGCTAAATACCCTCCCCCGCCACAGGGCTAAATACCCTCCCCCGCCACAGGGCTAAATACCCTCCCCCGCCACAGGGCTAAATACCCTCCCCCGCCACAGGGCTAAATACCCTCCCCCGCCACAGGGCTAAATACCCTCCCCCGCCACAGGGCTAAATACCCTCCCCCGCCACAGGGCTAAATACCCTCCCCCGCCACAGGGCTAAATACCCTCCCCCGCCACAGGGCTAAATACCCTCCCCCGCCACAGGGCTAAATACCCTCCCCCGCCACAGGGCTAAATACCCTCCCCCGCCACAGGGCTAAATACCCTCCCCCGCCACAGGGCTAAATACCCTCCCCCGCCACAGGGCTAAATACCCTCCCCCGCCACAGGGCTAAATACCCTCCCCCGCCACAGGGCTAAATACCCTCCCCCGCCACAGGGTAACCGCGACTCCCGCTGGAGTTTGGTGGCCACCAACACGACGCTGGAGGCCAAGCCGTCCAGTCCGCCGCGTGACGTGACCGTCGTGACCATCCGCAACCAGCCGTCCACCGTGGTGGTCAACTGGCAGCCTCCCCGCCACGCCAACGGCAGGATAACTGGTGAGAGGAGGGTGAGGTTCAGGGGGATTAGGGATAACGAGGGTTATTTCTTGTGATCCCCTTTCTTGAGTACTGCTATCAGCTATTGACCCCGCTCACTGCGGGCGCAGTGCGACAACTGGACGAGGTCCAGCGAACCTTCACTTCCAGGATCAGAGGAATGGAAGAGTTGAACTAATGGGAGGAGATGAGGCGTCTGGGTCTGTACTCACTGCAGAGGAGACGGGAGAGGTATGTCATTCTGTACACATGGAAAATAATAAACGGATGGCACTAAACTTTGAAGGCTAGACCATCAGGATTGATACACATCATAACGAGAGAAGGGGGAGACTGTGCAAGATCCTCCCACTACGTAACAGATCCGCGGTCAGATTTCAATCCCTGCGGGTAGGATCACTTTCCGTGGCAGGGCCAAGACTGTTTAACGTCCTACCAAGGGATCTAAGAGAGGGGGAGTTCACCCTGGAGACCTTCAAGAGACAACTGGACGTGTTCCTGGACACAGTCCCAGATCGACCTCCCCTGCAACACTACCAGCGGCGAGAAGCAAGCAACAGCATCGTGCATCAGGTGGCCCAAATGAGGGCATCAGCTGGCCCAACTGAGGGCATCAGCTGGCCCCACTGAGGGCATCAGCTGGCCCAACTGAGGGCATCAGCTGGCTCCACTGAGGGCATCAGCTGGCCCCACTGAGGGCATCAGCTGGCCCCACTGAGGGCATCAGCTGGCTCCACTGAGGGCATCAGGACCTGTGTGCCTGGTCTGAGAACAGCGAAATGCTAAGACGGTGATCCAGCGTGGCCTGGGACTGATACGTTTGAAAGGCACACAAGAATATATTGGTTCTCTGCTCTTCATCACAGGAGAGGCTTCATCATTTGTAATCATTTCGAGACAGGAGAAATTTCATCATTTCATCAAATGACAGGACATTTGATGAGACATTAATTGTACATTTCACCGTTTCATCCTCTACCAATTTAACGTAACCTAACTTACATGAACTCCTGTTTGCAATTAGCTCTCTATGTACTACTGATATTGAAATTTGAATAGCTATAATGATGCAATCTCCTATTGATGAACAGATATATAATGATAAAGTATCATGTATGATGAGGTGTCCGAATAATTTGCCTTCTGTAGCCTGGGTGCTTAGGACTCCTTCAGGATACGACAGACAAGACGCCATCCTATAGAAGCGTGTCCAGATAACGTGGTCGTGGTTGTGGTGGTCCCGTGGTTGTGGTGGTCCCGTGGTTGTGGTGGTCCCGTGGTTGTGGTGGTCCCGTGGTTGTAGTGGTCCCGTGGTTGCTGTGTCACGGTGTCGGTGAAGATTATCGTGTGGGTTAACTTGACCAATTTTTGCCCTCCGGCACAATCATATGTCAAACTTATTATTATTAGGATAATTTGACCCATTCATTTGTCTGTTTGTACGAAGTATTAGTGATGGGTGAAGTAACCCACGGTACGGGTGAGCAGGCTACCTCATCCTGTACACGACGGACCCCAGCCTGCCGTGGGGGGTGGAGCAGGTGGAGGGGGACCGGCTCTCCCACACCCTCACCCCCCTCACCCCCCACACCACTTACCACTACAAGTTACAGGCACGCAACGCTAAGGGACACTCACCCTTCACACCCGTCGCTAACTTCACCACGCTCATGGGTGAGTGGCGTCACTAGTCACTAGTTAC